GGGGAGGGAGGACGCCGCCGTCGCCGCGCCCCGCTCCCCGCTCCGCGCTCCAGGCCCCGCGCTCCACGCCCCGCGCTCAGGGCCCCGCGCTCGGCGCGTTGTGCTGCTCGTGACTGTCGGGGGCGGCGCTGGAAGCGGCCGGCTGATCAATAGCGACGTCAGGCAGCCGTCAAAGCCAGCGGTCGTCGGTGAAGAAAGCGGCAGGCGGCGAGGTGATGGAAACGCTCTGTGTGAAAATAGCTCTCATTTGCATATCTGTGGCCTCTGTCAGATCTTATCCACCGAAAAGCAACATAGACCCGGCAATGTAAGTATCCTCCAACAGTTTTGTTCGTGTATGGTTGTCTAACATCTAATGTCACATATTGCTGGAAATGCATTTGTATTTTACTGCCACTTGCAGTGGATTCGCTTTAGGGAAATCATTGTGTTTGTTTCCAAGTTCTTTTCTCATAACATTACGTTTCCTCCGGAAAAGTGAAGAGTAATATGTGGTCTTGCTTCGGTATTAAACAAAAAGTACCCCTCTCAGTAATTGATACCAGTATTTAGGGCAAAAATACTTTCAATAGCTCTTGGAGTTAGTATTCTTGTCATAAAATTGCTGCGTGGTTCTGGAGAGCTGAGTAAGAAGGACCATCTCATCGTAATGAAGAGCTATCATTCAAGAATATCCGTATATTCCTCTTCGATGTCATCTGCGCCCGTTGCAAGATTCCTTCAGAAAACAGCACATTGCACAATCGTACATTAGATATCTCTCCTACGTGTGGTTTTGTATTGTAAGATTTTATTGGTCAAGATAAAAACCCTACAAAATGCGGCGGTGAACTTGGTTCCTCTGGGAAAGGAGCAACGCGCTTGGAGGAAAAACCTCGGTCCAATCGCATGACTTCAAACTTCTTTAGAGCTGAGTCAAAAACTTCTCACGCACATAAGGCCTTCTGCTGTTGTAGTCGTTCTTTTCTAAAGAAAAAAATCTGCTGAGAGTGAAGAATGTAATTGACTTTATCACGATTTCCCAGGCCCTCGTTCGGCGAAATTTGTATCACTGTCATTTACTTGTTTCTTAAATATGAAGTAAGAATGACGGGATACGATATTGTTTCGAAATGGCATTCTGAAGCCCGAAAAATTCTGGTATGTTGGAGTATTGTTTACGGTAATCCGGTAGTATTAAACAACGTTCTTGGTTTCCGATCATGGAGAAGTTAGGTCTCCGAAAAGTGGGAAGAAAAGAAACAGGAGGAGAATATGATAAGTACATCCGTAAATGGTCAGCAAATTGTCGACAATTTTTATCATACTGTGAAGAAATGCGGTCTATATCGTTAATTGAACTTATTATGAAGTGGGCTTCTCATTGATTTGTTATAGTTTATAAAGGAATATTCTCTATAAATTAAAGAAAAGACAAATTAAGTAAAACTAGGTTTTCGTATTTTGATTCGAATTTGAAAGGTTAATTTTTAGAAAATTTTAAAATTAAATAACATTTCTAGAGTGAATTAGGTAGGCCTACTACTGTCATTTTTGGACTACCTAAGATCATATTTGTTCTTCCCTCAAATAATTAACAAATTTTATAATGGGGGAAAATAATGCAAAAAATATTACTATTATTTACTTATCTTAAAATGTTATGGATAAATTTTTACTCGATTTAAAAATAATGTAGCTATTCATTCACTAACTGTATCATTACATTTCCCTACCACAATAATTCAAAAAGATTAATGTATATATGAGTATAATTATGATAAAGTAAGTTTTTTTTTCAATTGGTTAAAAATGTAAAGAGGCTACTAACAAGTTCAAACTTTATGCACTGAGATTGAATGAATATTCCATATATTGTCCGTGCACAAAGAGTGATACATCCCCAAAACTAACATTTTTAAGTAAATAAATATGTTTAGAAAATAGTGTATTTTTACTCATTAAACGATCATACAAATTATTCACAAAAGAATTGGAAAAAACACTTGTCTTTGTCCATTCAGAGTAAAGCCATTCTTATGCAAAATGAAGTTTTTGAGATGTGTTACTTTTCTTGTGCTCTAATGATATAATCATTGTATTTGTGCAAAGTACATTTTCTGTTTTGTAGTGTATCAGCATGGACCAGCAAATTAGGAACAAATTTGATTGGTATGGCCACATATGTAAGCAGAAAGGAGAGTATTCAAGAGGTCTGTTTTATTTCCAGTAATGATTATGTGCATTGAGAGTTTTGTCATTACTGTAATGAGCTTTATTTTATTATGCTTTTTTTTCTTTCTCTTTTCCCCTTTCCAACTTTTATTTTTTTCCAGGCATATGCTGGAAAAGTTGTTGTTAGCAGAAGTGGAGAACAGCTCTTGCAAGAAATAGCTATGAACATTCAAAACATGACTGAAGCCAAAATCAGTGCTGTTAAGGTTTGTTCAAATAAACTTCCGCCTCCTCTTCAACCCCCTCAGCACTGAATCCCCGACTCCTAACACTTTTCTCAGATGAGAAATTGTGACTATTGAACACTTTGAAAAACAACACGTTAATCTTTTTGATAAACTTATTGAATTTGAGGTAAAGCTTCATGTTCTGGAATCATCAAATTTTCAAAGCAAGCATATCACAAACCTTAGTTTTATGGAAAATTATACTATTTGGTTCACTGGACATGATTAATTCTACATAATTACCTCTACTACTTCATCTTTAATGTTCTCTTAATTTAATATTATTCAAATGACAATGTATCTCCTTTTTTAATAGCGAATAATGGATACTGCTGAGGAGACAGCCATGGCTCATCAAGAAGATGTTGTTGAAGAAGATTACAAATATTATAATGCAAAAAAGTTAGCTGAAGAAACATTTGAACCTACTCCAGATCCAACTGTGAAAGAAAAAGAAGGAAGTGATGAAGATGAAGAAGAGGAAGAAGATTTAGGAGAAGAACCAGAGGAAGATCCTCCAAGAAAGATTGTTATGACAGAAAATAAACATTTTTTTAACAGAAAAGTTAATACAAGTTTTAGCGTTGTTCATGTTCCTACAAATGTTTTTGAAGGAGGTAAATCTTTTATCTTATTAAATGTTGTCTTTTTTGTTTCAATTTTTATAGAGTAGTAAAGTTTCAATTTCCATCTCTAAAATCTAGGCATTAAATTGTAGGCCAAATATAATGATTTCAGTTGCTCTAAATATCAATGGTAAAGTATAATTTTTAGAAGATGTAATAAAAATTTAAAGAAGTAATAACAAAAGTAATCATTGGTTCTATTTAAAAGTTATGACACAAAGGTCATTAAAGTTTTTTTATGCAATGTTTAGACTTTTAACTTTATTCAAGAACTTACTTTTAGAATTAAATCTTTTATATCTGATTATATTTGTTTACATGTTTTTGTTCTTTCTTATGATTAATTTGCTGACTTTTCGTTTTTCAGCACCAGATATTCTTAGAGCAATAAAATGGTCAGAACACCTAAATTCCATTTTTGTAGCAAATTACAATTCAGATCCATCTCTTTCATGGCAGTACTTTGGTAGTTCTCTGGGTTTCATGCGTCAGTATCCAGGTAAATTTTCAAATGTATTTAATAGACATTTGAAGTTAACCAATAGTCATTTCCGCATAGTACATAAACATGAAAATATAATAATATCTATATTGTTTAAAGAAACTTTAATAAAATAAATGAACTTTATAGCATTGAAATAACATGTATAAGAATTCAGAAAGACATTGCTACTTCATCTCTGTAATCTCAAATACCATTTTCAAAAGCATCAAATGTGAAATGTAAAATCAAGTTATTGAAATGTAGAATGAAGAATGGGACATCTTTTAACTTTCAGATTTATTAGTGAATTTACTTATGCTATGCCTTGAGTTCACTGTTAATTCACAATGGCACACCCCAAAGAAAGGGGACTTAAAAAGGCTTAACACCTATGGCACAGTTATACTCGCATTTTAAAAAGTAATCATATATTTATTATTTAATTCATTTTCGGATTCTATTCTTGTTATGTAACTAATAAATTTACTTTCTCGCCTTACTACATATCCGATAAATAGTAAGTATTGTAATTTTGTGGCGGAAATCGGCGATTTTTCGACTGAAAATTTGGTGGAGTCGAGCTCTGGTAACTAGAATGTGTATATCTTATTCCTAACCGTAGAAAATCAACCAATGAAATCTTTTTTAAGAAATTTAATATTTAAATAAGATCATGTGTTTTTTATTTTTTGTTGTTGTAAAAAAGAGTAGTTTTCATGTAATTTCTGCACACAGGTCCCTTTTTGTTGAAGACTGAATTTTCAAATATGGCAAAAGTTTGAAATAAAGTGAGAAAGTATGTGCTGTTGGAGCACTACTTGAATCACATTAAAAATTATTAATTAAATCTATCTTGTTGGTCAGGGAGTAAGTGTGAACTAAAAAAATGAAATTTGTGATTTGTTTTCCTACACATTTAGAAAACACTAGCTAATAACCTGAATTTTTATCTTTAAACTTCTCACCTGAAAAGTAGTGGACTTTACTCTCTCACTAACTAAAGTAGCCTCTTAACATGATAGATGTATTACACAATTTAATATGTAGCCTATCTTATGTTTCATGAAAATAACTTTTTAACTTAACTTTTTTGTTCTTTTAATTTTAAACTTTTTAATTTGAATGACAACTTTAATTTAAGGTATACATAATATGGTTTCAATAGTAAATAAAAAAATCATTCAGTATATTGATTTATATAAATAACTAACAATTTACAAATAAAAATGAATTTTAAATTCAGCATAAATGCAAAATGGTATATAAAAACCTCAGGTTGGCTAGAGATGACACCTAATAGCTCCTCATTGGAAATTCTGGTTATGCCACCATACATTGACAAATCTGGTTTACAACTGTGATCAACAATATTAAACCCTAAAAAAATAACACCAAATGATGTTTATGTATAATATGTGAAATTAGGAAGAGTATTTTTGCTTCCTTGCAGCTGCTCAATGGGAACAAGTAGCAGATGTGGTGGATCTATACGATTGCCGTACAAGACCATGGTACATTGAAGCTGCTACAAGTCCCAAAGATGTTGTCATTCTTGTAGATAATTCTGGATCTATGACAGGAATGAGAAGAGAAATTGCACGACATGTTGTCAATGATATTTTAGATACACTTGGCCCAAATGATTTTGTTAATGTATTCAATTTCTCTGACAACAGCACCAATGTAGTTCCATGTTTTGGAAATGGACTTGTGCAGGTAAAACTATTTGAAATAATTTGTTTTTCAGGGATATATTGTGTTCATTTAACATAAAATAATTACCTTTTCAGGCTACTTTGGAAAATGTTAGAGAATTGAAACTGGGAATGGAAGACTTATACACAGATAAAATTGCTAACTTTTCCGAGGCTTTGACTAAGGCTTTCCTTTTACTGCAAGATGTAAGTGGCTGATTTGAGTTTGATCTAAGTAAAAATAATTTACATTAACACTAAACAATTTACTCACATTTATATTATATCTGGTAAAGCAGTTTTTTAAATTAACAAAAACTATTTCTTACTTTGGTACGATTAATAGAGGTCACATTTTATTTGTTGAAAAACTTCAATGACAAGGTGCTGTATAATAATAAAATATTGTTTACAATCATCATCCAGTAACACCAAAAGTCACTAAGGAGGAGTTCCTGGCCCTTCCACCTTTTCCTTGCCTTGCCCGTGAGGCATTTCAAAATCTGTTGGGGAATCTGTTGGAATAACTATTAAATTTTTTTGAACTATAATATTTTGTTGGAAGGTATTTTATACACTGTCTATATTTTATCTTGAGTTTTTGGAATGTTTTTGTTTGATATTAAAAAAAAGGAAGCATCTACGTAATCAGATGTATTAAATGTTTCAGTATCGAACTAGGCATGAAGGAGCTGCATGTAATCAAGCAATCATGCTTGTTACTGATGGAGTACCATATAATTACAAAGAAATATTTAGAACATACAATTGGCAAGATCTTCCAAGAATGCCAGTGCGAGTTTTCACATACTTGATTGGTCGAGAAGTTGCAGATGTAAGAGAAGTGAAATGGATGGCTTGTGCAAATCAAGGTAAAAGCACTGAAATGTAGTGCTCCTGTTATGGTAGTGAAAAATTATGGCCCTTGTTATTTCTAATTAATCTGTCCAAGTTAGTCTTTAATGCTTGAATTTCCAATTTAGGTTTTTTTGTTCATTTGAGTACATTGTCAGAAGTAAAAGAAAAAGTTTTAGAGTATATTCCTGTCATGGCTCGTCCACTTGTGCTACAAAAAAATGAACATCCAGTCATTTGGACATCTGTATATGCTGATGTTGCAGTGAGTGAAAATTTTTGAATTTATTTACTTAAATAGCTTATTTTTCTTTTATAATTTCCTGATCTTTGAATCACTTTTGTCATAAATCAATATTTGCATGCAATTCAGGATCCAAAAATGACAGATTGGCTATGGGACAGTAAGGAAAGTGAAGAACAAAAAGAGATATTTTTACATTCACGTAAAATGAATATTCGTCATGCAAGCCCAGAAGAACAAATTCAGAAATATCTTCAGAGAAGGGTGAGTAATAGGCAATATAATTATGAATATAAGAATTTTGAAACGGTTGTTCCCTGCTCAATGAATTTCGGAAAATACAATTTTATTATATTTACCCAAAATTTTAACTAACGGGAATGTTAAGATTCCTTGATAACCTGTCCATTTATTTGGTTTTCAGTTTCTTTTATTGTGTGCATTGTAGGTGTTAACTTGCGTAAAACATATATTTGAAAAAAAATTGGTTTATGCTTCTGGAGCATGAATGCATAAACCTTTTAATGTACAACCTAGTATTGTTACAATGACTCTTTTGATAATCATTACTATAATGTAGCAGAAATTATGAAAATATTTACATGAAAATATTACTATAAATAATTGAATATTGGAAAATTACAGAACAGTTGATTTCCAATTTTTCAAAATTTTGATTTTATTTCTGATATATTGATGGAATTTTGAAATGATATTATCATGTTGAACTATTCCAATTTAAAATGTATTGGTTGGAAAAGTTTTCAGGACATATTTACAGACATACATTAAGTAAACTATTATATATTATTGCCATTTAATATTGTTTTAAAATTTTTATACCGTTTCAAGCATATTTTTGCAGTTTTAATTTATCATTTTAAAAGCTTTTTTTCTCATTTTTTCAAAATCTTCTTTACCAACAACTTTTTGTTCAAGCCATTAACTCTTCTATATTAATAATTTCGAATGTTTGTTGTAATTGATGAGAAACTATGCAGCCTCCGGTCACGTGAGAAGTGTTCAAGGTTTTGTTAGATACCCAGGAACTCGAAATAATTCCTACAAACGAATGCGGTGCTGAATTCGAAATTGATGTTTGCCAACTCGAAAGAAGTCAGCTTCACATAAAAAATGGCAAAAAAACCCTAAAATTTTCACCATGTTTTTGTTTGTCGCTTTTATCTACAAAGCTACGCGTTTTATGGAAACAATTGTTATATACAAAATTAAAGTAGGTACAATTTCCTGTAAAATAAGTACATTAACTTTAATTATCTGCAGAAAGGTTTAGGCGCTAGAGGGGGCCGAAAAACTGTTACTTTTTGGGCCTCTGATCAAAGCGAGAGAAAAGCCCTTTCCAGCAATCCTATCCGCGGCAGCACACTAGTTTCACTTTCTCATGCTTGAAAACAAGTGTGAACAAATAATTGGCATTGTGAAATGATTAATATTCCGATAGTCACAGAAAGAGTGGGAACGTATTTGTTCGCTCGGAGTATCAGTAAATTCTTGAAACAACATAAGGTATAAGGTATACACAAGGCGTATGAGCTTCAACTATTTTTGGATGTTGAAAGAAATCACCTTCAATTACTTTTATCAATTCTTCAATGGTATATTGGATTTCTTCGTCACTGTTTGCAAGAAAACTAAAAATAGCATCGCTGTTTCTACGTCATCTATGCAGGGCCCGACTATGATTTGTGTTCCTATCTTCTTTGGGGGGCTGATGCAGTGTTTTCATGCATATCAAATAAGCGTGTGCATCAGCAGCTAACAAGACATTTACTGCTTCTAAGTAATATAATCTTCGATGTCCAAAATCAACATTACGATTTCTGGTGAGTCATAAAACAGTTTGTCTAACAGCTAATTTCCTCAAAGGATATACTAGATTTCGTTTTGAGGGAACTTTTAGAATTGTTTCTTTGCAAAGTCTCGTGGTAGTTACTTTCCACAGATAAAAGAACGAGTTTTGAAGACAGTCAGGTATGGATGAACGTAATTGAGATGATTCAGTCTCTTCTTGAGTTCTCTTCACGTAAGCAGAAATTTGTTTTTCGTTGCCTCTTAAAGTTAACGCGGAATTCAATTTATGAGTTACATTGAAATAAAAACTCCTCATCCGGCCGCCCCTTGAATCCGCGCGTGCGTAGAGAAACATGTGCCAAGTCATTGGCTCTGACAAACATCGAAAACAAAAACAAAAATTATACGTTTTTTTTTTCGATTTAAAAACAATTGGAGGGGTGGCATAATTCTGGCTTCAGATTCGGATTTAGCACATTGACGTACATAAGAGAAACATGTGTCGAGTCTGACGATCTAATATGGTTGT